TACTGAAGTTCATGATTCTTTGTGAAGATATATTTTCCTACTTGCAAATGTGTAATGATCTCTCCTTAAAAGCAAAAGAACAAAATTAAAAGCAGATATTAACAGGAAAATGAGTGATGGTTTATTTTTGTGTATATTAACTTGGCGGAAAAATGCATATGAAAAAGTAACAAAATTCAAGGAAAAAACTTTAGAAGCCCTGAAATGACTAATCTTAACTGATTGTTGGGTCACAAGTAAGGATTCAGAGAATGAGGATTTCTACAATCGATGCGTGTGGTAAATTTTTTGCTTAAATTTTCACACTTGTGTTACGTAAATGGCTAACATTGATGACTACTTCCCAGGACATTATTTCATAATGCTATTGGATAAAAACTACATCCTTCATTTTACGAGAGAGAAACGATGTTTATAGAGTTTTAAAAAGCCACATGACTAATGTCAGTGGCAGAATCAGAGAGTTTAGAGGGACGCTTAACCGACTGCGCCACCCAGGCGCCCCAGGTTTAATTTTTAAAAAGAATTCGTGAAGGAAGAGGTTATAGTGGAAGATCTACTTTTAAAGAAAAAAAGATTGGATGACACTTTATAAACATGGTAAGGCAGACTTTATTTAGGACCATCCTGATAGTTACAGGGACCCCTGCAATGGGATTTTACAGTGGGGAAAGAGAGATGAGGCTGAACTGGTAATACAGCATGGGCAAGTGGGAATTGATAGCCCAGGAGCAGGACAGGGGTCAGTGAATGGAAAATTACCAAGAGAAAACAAGATCAGGGGAGTTTTGGCTAAACCCACCTAACAGGACTCTCGCTGAAAACGGCCAGGGTGACCAGACTTCATGGGGGCTGGTGGAGGATGAGGAACACAATTACATACTGAAGATGATCAGATATTGGGGGCGGGGGTGTTGGTTAAACTGACTTGGCAAGGTTCTTGCTAAAACTGGATTTTACAAAAAAATGTAATCCTAGGCACAGCTGAGCTTAGGAGGTTTAGCAGTCTGGCTAATGTTTGGCCACACAATCTTCATCACTACCTCAAGTATGTCCAGAGTCCAGCTTTTATTTCTTCTAAGAGCTTTCCAGGGCTCTTTCTGTCCCCAGCACCCAGCCTAGTGGAGTCTAATTAATTGCTTACAAGCAATTCTGCAAAGCTGGAAGGCCTAGAGAGGGTAAAAGGCTCAGGCTTGAAAAGACTTACAAATTTCACGATTTCCCCCGTTTGCAGACCTCAGAATGGACGGCTGCTGGAGAGCACTGAGCACTCACCCGCAGCCAGGCCCTTTACACCCATTCTCAGGTCTACCCCCGCCCCACAAGCGTGTGGGAGCCTTCGGCCAGGAGGGGAGGCCCCTTTGCGGTCGGAAGCCCGGAGCCCACGCACTTTTTTGCACCTACCTCGCCGAAGCCCCTGAGCACTGGAGAAACCCGAGTAGGGCTATGTTTATGTTTACAGGAACCGGGAGGGGCGTGAAAGGGTGCCCGAGACCCGGACCGCTCCGGGCTCGTTCGGAGGCCTCCTTCGCACCACCTGGCCCGCTGAAAGACTACCCAGAAAGGGCGTGGAAAAGAGTGGGACAAAGGGGAGGAGGGTCACGAGTCAAAGCGGCGGCGGGGAGGATGCCACCGCCGGCGACTCACGGCCTCCGGGCTCCAGTTGGACCGGGTTAAGCAGAGCTTCAGAGGCTTCTAGAGCGGCGCGCGAACCTGCCGCTCCCCCTGCAGCGCAGAAGACCTGACACCCCCCTGCCTGACCCGCTGACAGCGCCACCCCACCCCCCTTCCCCAGGTGAGTCGAGCCCGGCACCGCCCGGAGGCATCAGGTGTCGTGGGAACGGCGCCAGCGGAGTGCAGGGAGGGACCGCGATGTTGGGAGCCGTCGGTGACACACTGCGAGAGGGTCAGGACCCCCGGACGTCGGCGCCATGGAAGGGACGAAGGTGGGAGCGGGGTGCGAGCTGCAGCGGTTCCGCACAGCGCCCGCTCGGCAGCCTGCCCAAGGTCAGTGGGGTAGGTGGGGGGCCCCCGGCTGGGGTCAGCCCGCACCCCAGCTGCGCGGGCTGGAGGCTCTGCCGCGCAACCCCTGTCCAGGCCTTCGCCCACCCGGAAGCCTGAGGCAGGGACCCCGAGAGCTGAAGCCACCTGCGGCCAGAATCTTGCCCTGGAAGAGCTGGGGAGGGGTTTGCCGTCTGGGGGGCGGCCGGGGCCTCAGGGATGGTCCAGAAGTTGCTCAGCCAGCGTCTCGTGACTCGAGTGGCCTTTACTAGCGGCGTGGGGGGCGGATGGAAATGGAGGTGCTCAGCCGGGACCCCTGCGCGGGGCGAAAGCGGCCTCCAGCCAAGCTGGGCCGTCCGAAGTTGCTGGTGACGCGGAGGCCTGGGAGGAGGGCGGGCTGCGGCTGCACCTGCCAGCGCAAGGTCAGCGGGGACGCTGCTGCGGGGGTGGCAGGGGTGAAGAGAGGAGTTTTGAGTCTGATGGAGTGAGACAGCGCTTCTGAAGAAATGAGGTTGCGTTCCTTTGTCAACTGAGGTTTTTACTATTCACACATATTCCCTGGTTTTCTCTCATTTTCTGCAGCTGAATCCAGTTAAGCGTCTCATCTCCGTGAATAAACAGCCTCTGTGTGTCAGTTTGTAGATTGTAAGAGCGCGTCTGATACCGCGGATAGGCTCTCTCCTGCCGGGCGTCTCCACCTACCCCGCATCCTGCGCGGCGCCCCCGGGTGGCTGTGAAGGGTGGTTGGCGGGCACTCCTTCGGCGCCTCGGGGTCCGGACACCTGGCACTTTTTAAAGTGCACCCCAGGAAGGGCTTGTGTGACTTTGGGAAAGCCAACGTTTGCAGCAAGTGTAGCGGCCAGTCCTTGTGAATGAAATTCCTTGCTTCCGGGACAGCTTGGTGCCATAAATTGATTGCCGTTGTCTCATTTTCTCTTTGTCCCTGTGGGTTGCTGTTACACGGCGTGTCTACTTGAAAGTTTACTTTACCCTGTATCAAAATAGAAAGGGCTTAGTGTGTCCTCAAGTCTGTAATTTACCAACATGCACTATTATTACCTGCTTCATTACTAATGGTTAGTCACGTGAGAGTTGTGATGAACATAAAATCATGTTCCTTTTAAGTCCCATTGATGAAGTCTCTAACTGCTCGTTTTTGAAGAAGGAAATAAAATGTTCTTGAATGAAAATCTTAAGGGATTAATAGCTTTTTTTCTCTCCCCTACGTCTTTACCTGAGAGTTTCCGTACTCATACTTTGACAGGCATTTTAAGACGTAAGAACCATACTTGAATGAGTTCGATCATAATTATTGCATTGTGAAGGTATTGCATATTGTATTTTCATGCCATTGTAAATAGGCTTTATGCTTTGCTGACTCAGCAGTCTTCTTGTTAATCATTTTATTAATCAAGATTTTTAAAAGCTTCCCCGTGGCTAGTTTTTATAGCCAATATCTATTATTTGGAGCTGTTGGGTTTGCTAAGAATGTTTGAATCAGAATCAACTGTGGGATTCTATATTTGGAAAGCAGTGTATTACCTAAACAGTAACTTGTTAGAGGTTGTATTATTATAGTTTGGTTTAATCCCTCCCCCACCTTGATCTCTGAGCAGAAGTCACTGTAACAGCATCACACAAAGCCAGCCTTTCTCTTCTACACGGAAGAACTCTACTTTGCCAGGTGGTTGGGGGTATTTTATTTTGAACAGGTTTCCATAATATTAATATTGGTCGGAGTGAAAATCCAAGATAAGCCCCTGCTTCTGGAGTGATGTCTTTGTCATTTTGGATTGGAAATGCTGACTACAAAGACAGTAAAATTAGCCCCATCTAGTTTCAAAGAGATAAAAGAGATAATAGATACGAGGTACTTTGAAAAGTAAAATGTGCTACATATATATAAGGCCCTCAATAAAAGTCAAATGCAAGTGATATGGCTGATTGCGATTTGGACTTAAATTAAGCTTCTGCATTCCCCTTCGTAGAACAGGTAAGTTTCCTGAGCCTCCGTTGCCCCTTAAGAATCTTGTTGCCTGTTCAGGAAGCTGACCTGGCTGTTTGGGCCATAGGGAGAGTGAGGCTGCTTGCTCAGTGTTGGAACCACTGCTAGGGCTTTATTTGCATTTGTATTTAATCAGAATACATGAGGGTAGGTATTGTTATTACTATTTTGCAGAAGAGAAAACTGAGGCTCAGAGAGGCTGAGTGACTTATCTAAGGTCACAGAGGTGTCAAGTCTTAGAACCGATTTTAGACACCAAACACGGTTTTAGTTCTCTGCACCACATCTTGCTACCTTTAACTCCGGTTTTAAACTTATTTTGATAATATGGTGAAACGTTAAGTATCACTGCACAGGGGTGCCTGGGTGGTTCAGTTGATTGAGCGTCTGACTTTGGCTCAGGTCATCATCTCGCGGTTCACGAGTTCAAGCCCCACGTCAGGCTCTGTCCTGACAGCTCAGAGCCTGGAGCCTGCTTCAGATTCTCCGTCTCCCTCTCTGTCTGCACTTCACCACTCACACTGTCTCTTTCTCTCTCTCTCTTTCAAAAATAAGCATTAAAAAAATTTTTTTTAAGTATCACTGCAGGAAAAATGGCCATATCTTCATATATACAAAATTTTGCCTGTTATTTCAGGGTCCACCTACCTTCTAAAACCATTACATAGGCTTGCAGGTCACCCTGTTCTAACTACCTCTGTCACGGAATGAGGCAGAAAGTGTATACGTACTATATATATGTACATACAATCATTTACTAACAGGAGTAGCCCTTGAGGGCAGTAACTTTCAACCAGGTGAAAATTTACTTAGTAATTGAAACAAAATTCTAATTGATTCTGTAAATATCTAAAGTGCCCTTTAGAACAATGGGGCTTAGTCGAAACCAGATCTTTTGTTTGGGCTTCTTCAACTATCCTGTGATAGCAAAGAATATAAATTTATACCTTTACTTATAGAATGTAAATAGTTTTTTTTTTTCCTCTCCCCAGAGATGGCAAATCCCGAGGTTGTAATCAGTAGCTGCAGCTCTCAAGAAGAGGAAAATCACTGCACTTTTAACCAGCATACATCGCCCTCTGAGGAGCTTCTGTTAGAAGACCAGATGAGGCGAAAACTCAAATTTTTTTTCATGAATCCTTGTGAGAAGTTCTGGGCTCGTGGTAGAAAACCATGGAAGCTTGGCATACAAATTCTAAAAATTGCGATGGTGACTATACAGGTAAGCCTCTCAAATAATGAGTTTAGTGAAGGCCTCTTTTAGTAACAAAAAGCATGGACAGTGGTTTTTCATAACTTTCAACTGTATGTATAATGGAGAACAATAAATTAGGAAACACAATCTTAAACCCTTCTCCCTTCAATATTTGTGAAAGAAGACTTTGGGGTTTTTTTTTTTTTCCTTAATTATTTTCCTTCTCATCTTTCATTAAATTACAGTTTTGGTCACAAAATGGAATCAGTTTTTAGGAAACGAAGATTTTAATATTCGGTTTCCAATAGAGAAGCTGGAGGTTTTTAAATCATCCATGAAAACTAGCTGTTGCCCAACCAGAGGATTCTTTACCCTCCTAGTTAGTTTCCTGGGAATTTCTCTCTTTTCAGAAATTTCAAAGGTTTCTGTTAAGGCAAGTATCTGGATTCTCACAGCCCTGTGATCATGGGAACCCTGTGATCATGGGAACCCCAACACTGAGCAATGTGGAAAAATGTGGAGTTAACTAAAAATGAGTGGCATACACAGTGAAATATGAGACTTCAATTTAGCAGAGTTTGAATCTCATTTCCTCATCTTCTGTTGACATTTTTGGGGAAAACCATATTTTGCAATTCTTTTTTTTTTTAGACGTTTATTTATTTTTTTGAGACAGAGAGAGACAGAGCATGAACGGGGGAGGGTCAGAGAGAGAGGGAGACACAGAATCCGAAACAGGCTCCAGGCTCCGAGCTGTCGGCACAGAGCCTGACGCGGGGCTTGAACTCACAGACCGTGAGATCATGACCCAAGCCGAAGTCAGATGCTCAACCGACTGAGCCACCCAGGCGCCCCTGCAATTCTTTATGTATACTGGTTATGATTTACTCTTGTGAAGATATATTTTCCTACTCGTAAGAGTAATGATCTCTCCTTAAAAGCAAAAGAACAAAATTAAAAGCAGATATTAACAGGAAAAATAGATGTGATAGGTTTATTTTTATTAATACTTAACTTGGTGAAAAAATGCATATGTAAATAAATAACAAGTATTCAAGGAAAAAAAACTTTAAAGCCCTGAAATGACTAATCTTAACTGATTGTTGGGCACAAATGCTTAAGGTTAGAAGCTAAGGGGATTTCTACAATCATATGAAGTTGGTAGAATTTTTGCCTAAATTTCTCACACTTGTGTTACGTAAATGAAACTAACATTTGAGTGACTACTCTCTCCCAGGACATTATTTCATTTAATTATAATAACACTCCTATTGGATAAAAACTAGCATCCTTCATTTTACCGAAGAGGAAACTGATGTTTATAGAGTTTTTAAAAAGCCACATGACTAGTCAGTGGCAGAATCAAGAGTTTAGAGGCAGGTGCTTGCTCTCTCTCTAATATGTCACCATTAAAATGGGTGTTCAGTTCTCCATATAATAATTGGCAAGTTAGAATTGAAATTCTTCCAGGTGATAATACAGTGCATCACAGTAGTGAAAATTTTCATCTGTGTTGTTTCTGATAAGTAGAGGGAAAAGCCTGTGTCAGATGAACATGAATATCTTCTACTTAGTATGATTGTTACCACTTGAGTGTTTGCTATATTGGGGGCTAAGCATCATCATGTTCAATTCTTAAGTCAGAGGTAAGTAGTGGTATCCCTATGTCCACGGATGAGAATATTGAGGCTTCCTGAAGTAAAATTGTCATAGTCAGGAAACTAGAAGAGGAGAGCTGAGATTCAACTCAGGTTTTATTCTAAGACTTGTGTTCTTAATTACTCCTAAATCTTTTAGGGAGCTCATCTAACCATCCTCTGTTTCCTAGGGTGCCCAAGAGGAAATTTGACCAGTGGTTTAAGATGTTAAGCCTGTTAGTAATACACATATAAAAGGCATTTAGGGACGTTCTTAAAAGGAACTGAGAGTTTTTCTTAATTGTGATGTTTCCTCAATCTGTACTGCAGCAACCAAGCAGAGGTGACGTAAAAACTTTGTGACTGAGCAAGTGTGACTTGGTGACAGATTCCCACTTTTCAGGGGAGAGAAGGTGGTCTTTCTGTTCACTTGGAGATTTTGTGTCTGCAGCAACAAAAGAAAGGTGTCTTTGATGACGGGCACCCTATTAAAATTTTCCCTTTCCCCACTACCTGGCTTAGTCTCTGAATTACAATGGCTCTCTCTCTGCCATGGGTGCACCTTTGAGGGCAGGGACTGCTGTTTTCACATCGCATCCTCTGGACCCAGCTCAGTGCTCGCATGAGGGAGGTACTCATGTATTTGACTGCATTGGTAATTGGTCTTTAGGAATTCTCTGGAGGCTTTTCAGTCATCAGCTTCATTAGTTGTAAAATCCCTAGAACATCAAGCTGTCATCTTATTGGGATTTAAATAGGATACTTGGCTTAAAGAGGCTCTTCAGAAACGCAAGTCCAGTTAGGAGGAGAGCACTGATATATGTGGGGTGTAGGACATACATCAAGAGGAGAGGTGAAAAGAGAAAAGATTTGTGTGCTTTACTTTTCCCCAATAAGACCCTGGACTACTTTGTGTAGCATGCCAGGGTGGCTAGAGCTTGGATTTAGTCTGTTGGACTTGGGTTCAGATTTTGGCTACACCCTTGCTAGTGATGTGACTTGAACAACATTATTTAACTTCTTTGCCTTTATGTACCCATCTATAAAATGGGTATATTAGGAACTGTACTGTGGGATTCGTATGAGGAAAGCTCCTGGTATGGCACCTAGGTGCTCAATGTTGTTCCCTTTTTCCATATAAAATACACCCTGCATTGTTCTGGGATCCAGAGTGTATGTTAGAGTGTATGTTCTAAAGTTACAGTGTGTGTGTGTGTGTGTGTGTGTGTGTGTGTGTGTGTGTGTGTCACAGTGAGAACAAGTGAGAGTGAGCAAGAGAGAGGACGTGCAAAAGAGCAAGAGACTGAGATGGTTTTGGAGGGAAGAGAGACTTTGAGTACATAAAGTTTCAGCTATGACTGAAAGAGCTTATGTTAATACCACAGCAATGCAGTTAAACAATGATTTTAAGCATGAATAACTGAGTTTCATATAAAACTCTGCTGTCAATCCTTCATGAATATGTAAGGATATGTTTGTTAACATTCTTTAATTTAGAGGTCAGTCGAGAGGATATTTTTATTTTTGGCCTTATTGTCACAGTTTTGGTAATTAAATGGTGAAATTAAATATAATAGTTTGATTGGAGGATTTAGACTTATTTAAGGTATTTCTTATATTGCATTGTACACCTTCTTCAAAACCTTCTTGATGTCCTGCATAAATCATTAAAAATCTT